AAAGTATTCCAGGCAAAAGGCACAGGAAATACAAATGGTCTAAGACAAGAATGTGCTTCATGTTTTCAAAAATAAGGAAGCTGGGTGAATGGAATGGAGTGAATGAGCAGGAGTATAGTAGGAGATGGTGTTAGAGACTTAACAGGAGGCCAGATTGTATAGAATCTTGTAGGCCATTGTAAGGACTTTGGCTTTTACTCTTAGATTGATAGCCATCAGAGGTTTTAATTTTTTTTTTATTTTAAAATAATTTCTAGCTTATGGAATAGTTGCAAGGAGTATTCAAGGGACTCTTGTATACCCCATCCCAAATTCGCCAGTTGTTAACATTTGCCTAATTTCCTTTATTACCATCTCTCTCTGTGTGTGAACATAGAGAGTTATTAACCATTGAGAGTTATTGCAGATTCCTAAATTCTCAAACGTTTATTTCCTAAGAATAAAAACATTCTCTTAAGTAACTGTCTTTGATCAAATTTGGGAAATCTAGCATTGATATAATACTATATTAAAGTTTCTCTAGTACCCAGTAATGTCTGTTATGAGGATTTTAAAAAGTTTCTGGCCAGGCGCAGTGGCTCACGCCTGTAATCCCAGCACTTTGGGACGTCGAGGTGGTCGGATCAAAAGGTCAGGAGTTCGAGACCATCCTGGCTAACATGGTGAAACCCCGTCTACTAAAAATACAAAAAATTTGCTGGGTGAGGTGGCATGTGCCTGTAATCCCAGCTACTCGGGAGACTGAGGCAGGAGAATCGCTTGAACCCAGGAGGCAGAGGTTGCAGTGAGCTGAGATTGAGCCACTGCAGTCCAGCCTGGGTGATAGAGCGAGACACCATCTCAAAAAAAAAAAACCAAAAAACCTTATTCAGGATCTAGTGCAATATCATGCATTGCTTTTAGTTGCAAGTTTCTCAGCCATTGTCTTTCATGACATAGACATTTTGAAGAGTACAAGCAAGTTATTTTATAGAATGTCCCTTAATTTGGTTTTTCTTTCTTTTTTTTTGAGACGGAGTTTCGCTTTGTTACCCAGGCTGGAGTGCAGTGGCGTGATCTCGGCTCACTGCAACCTCCACCTCCTGGGTTCCTGGGTTCAGGCATTTCTCCTGCCTCAGCCTCCTGAGTAGCTGGGATTACAGGCACGCGCCACCATGCCCAGCTAATTTTTTGTATTTTTAGTAGAGATGGGGTTTCACCATGTTGACCAGGATGGTCTCGATCTCTTGACCTCGTGATCCACCTGCCTTGGCCTCCCAAAGTGCTGGGATTACAGGTGTGAGCCATCGTGCCCGGCCCTTAATTTGGTTTTGTCTGATGTTTTCTTATGATGAGATTCAGATTATAAATTTTTGCCTGAAATACCATAGAAGTGATGTCATTCTCTCTATTAGGAGGCCCATAGTGTCAGTTTTCATGGTTATAGGAGGCAAGCATATGATGTCATTTTGTCCCATATTTGGTGATATTGATCTGCTTACTTGGTTAAGATGGTGTCTGTGGTTTCTTAACTGGAAAGTTATAATTTTTCCCTTGGTAATTAACATGTAAGTTGTGAGGAGATACTTTGAAACTAATTATTCGGTTCTTTTTAAAAGTTTTGCCTAATCTTTTTTAAAAGTTTTTATTTTTTGTATCATATTTACAGTTTACAGATGCCTAATAGTTTAGCATGTACTGATGATTATATTCTGAATTAGTCATTTCTAGGATGGTTGCAAAATGGTGATTTTCTGTTTTTCTTTTCTCTTCTTTTGAGGCAGGATCTCACTCTGTTGCCCGGGCTGGAGTTCCGTGGTGCCATTATGGCTCACTGCAGCCTCGTCCTCCTGTGCTCAAGTGATCCTCCCTCCTCAGCTTCCTGAATAGCTGGGACTACAGGCACGTGCCACGATGCCTGGCTAATTTTGTATTTTTTGTGAAGATGGGGTCTCACTATATTGTCTGGGCTGATCTCAAACTCCTGGGTTCAACCTCCTGCCTTGGCTTCCCAAAGTGCTGGGATTCCAGGTGCCACTGTGACCAGCCTTAAAAAAATTATTTATTTATTTAAAGGAATAAGATCTTACTGTGTCGCCCAGGCTAGAGTGCAGTGGCACAATAATGGGTCACTGCAGTCTTGATATCCTGGGCTCAAGTGATCTTCCTGTCATAGCCACCCAAGAAGCTGGAACTACAGGTGCCCACCACCATGCCTGGCTAATTAAAAAAAAATTTGTTTTAGTAGAACTAGGGTTTGGCTTTATGGCCCAGGCTGGCAAAATGGTGGTTTTTTTTTTTTTTTTTTTTTTTCCCCGAGATGGAGTCTTGCTTTGTCAGCTAGGCTAGAGTGCAATGCCACAATCTTGGCTCACTGCAACCTCCATCTCCTGGGTTCAAGCGGTTCTCCTTCCTCAGCCTCCTTAGCAGCTGGGATTGTAGGCACCTACCACCATGCCCAGCTAATTTTTTTTTTTTTTTTTTTTTTTTTTTTTCAGTAGAGACAGGGTTTCAACATGTTGACCAGCCAGGCTGGTCTTGAAACTTCTGACCTCAGGTGATCCGCCCACCTTGGCCTCCTGAAATTCTGGGATTGAAAGAGCACATACCTCATATAAAGTGGACAGCTGTGAATTAGCTCTAGTTAATTCCTTGTGGGTATACTGGCCTGATGTGACTAAATATTCCAGTATTTCATGAGGACCCAGATTTTTTATATGAAATCTCTGATTTTTAAATATTGTCAACAATGTTGTTCTTAAACACTGCAGGCCAAACATTATCTGTTGGCTGAATGTAGTTCCTGAGGCTTCACTTTACAGCCTCCTGTCTCTGGGTGAAATACAGACTTGGACAAATCATATTGCTTTCCTAGCTATTTCTTGACTGGAGCTTCATAAAAATAATTTGAAATGAAACTTAGTTGAATATGGAAGAACTCTGGTTTAGAACAGAACAGAAAGGATGAAAGCAAACTATATAGAGTATTAGAAGATACAGTAGGATTTTAGGTACCTATAATGCAGTGTGTGTGTCGGGGGGTTGTTTAGAGGCAAGGAAAGGAGGATTGAAACAAATATGATGAACACAGTGGAAAAATAACATTCTTCCATGTGAGTTGCTTCTGTATTTCCTAGAATATGGGTTCTTGTATCCATAATAAGAATTTTATAAGAGGTTCTAATGTAATTGAGATGGTTAGTATGTAGAATTGAATTGAACTTAGGACCTAAAGTCATGCTGAACATGGACAAGAGAAAGCTTCTTCCAGAAATTTCCTGGATATTACTGAGCCTGGCTGAGGCCAAAGTGGAGTGGATTACTTTTCATTGAAATGCTTTTTGTTGTTAATAGAGTGCTTTAAACAATTTAGGTTGGTTTTCTTGAAGTAGTTTTTATTAATGATTCAAAGGCATCTTCCTCGTGTGGATAAAAATCACTCTGGCCAAAAACAAGCGATCACCACAGCAGTTGGTTTTGGCTGCTGCATGTCCTGCCTTCTGAATAGAAAAGGAGTGTTACTGAGGGAAAAGGAATGCAGGTTGAATTGTAGTATTCTGAAAGTGTAACCTTTTGGAACATTGAATTGGCAGTTTTAAACAGTGTTTTCTTTTTGGTATAGGTCATTTTATTTGCTTCTGGATACTATTTATTCTTTAGTTCATATAGAAATAGTGTTTTTTCAATAGCAAAATTTTTAATTGGTTATTTAAAAATTATTAGTATTACTGTTTTTTGAGACAAGGTCTCATTTTGTCAACTACGCTGGAGTGCAGTGACACAGTTGTGACTCACTGCAGCCTGGACTTCCCCAGACTCTGATGATCCTCCTGCCTTAGCCTCTTAGATAGCTGGGTCTACAGGCCTGTGCTGCTGCATCTGGCTAGTTTTTGTATTTTTTGTAGAGGCAAGGTTTTGCTATGTTGCCCAGGCTGATCTTGAACTCCTGGGCTCAAGCAATCTGCCTTTCTTGGCCTCCCAGAGCGCTGGGATTATAGGCATGAGCCACTGCATTTGGCCTTATTTTAAAATTATGTGCAGAACAGAAGCTCTTTATATGAAGTGGCCTAGTGGAGTAGTTGATTGGAAATCAAAACAGTCAATTAGGTCACAGAATCCTGAAAATGATATATACAATTAATTTTATAATTAAATTATTTATTTTAAAATTATTTTTGAGACAGAGTTTCCTTCTTGTTGCCTAGGCTAGAGTGCAATGGCAGGATCTCGGCTCATTGCAACCTCCGCTTCCTGGGTTCAAGTGATTTTCCTGCCTTAGCCTCCCGAGTAGCTGGGACTACAGGTGCATGCCACCAAGCCTGGCTAATTTTTGTATTTTTAGTAGAGCTGAGGTTTCACCATGTTGGCCAGGCTGGTCTCGAACTCCTGATCTCAGGTGATCCACTGGCCTTGGCCTCCCAAAGTGCTGGGATTACAGGCGTGAGCACCTGGCCTAAGTAATTTAACTTAAAACATACAACTCTATAGTCAGTACTTTTGATGCAAAGGGTCCAGCCATTTCCCATGATTATGAAATCACAAATCAGATATCTGCATTGTTTTTCCTTGCATAAACCACACCCATAATGCCTTGACTAGATTTTCTTGTTACTTTTGTTGTTGTTGTTGTTGTTTTGAGAGGTAGTCTTGCTCTGTCGCCAGGCTGGAATGCAGTGGTGTGATCTCGGCTCACTGCAACCTCTGCCTCCCAAGTTTAAGCGATTCTCCTCCTTTAGCCTCCTGAGTAGCTGGGACTACAGGTGCATGCCACTATGCCCAGTTAATTTTTGTATTTTTAGTAGGCACGGGGTTTCACCATGTTGGCCAGAATGGTCTCGACTTCTTGACCTCCACTTGCCTAGGCCTCCTGAAGTGCCAGGATTTTAGGCGTGCGTCCGGCCCTAATTACTTTTTTTTTTTAAGGTGGAGTGATAATGTAAAGAACCTTGCCAAAGAACAAGAGTGGAGACTACCTCTAGATTTTTATAGTGTTCCCTAGTATTTATTTTTTTAGAATAATTTTAAATATGGAACACTTCACAAATTTTTGTGTCGTCCTTGCGAAGGGGCCATGCTAACCTCCTCTATATCTTTCCAATTTTAGTATATATGCTGTCGAAGTGAGCATATATACATATTAATTGCTTCATGATATATCTAATTCAATACAGTGTTTTTTTTTTAGTGACTTCGCATTACTGAGTCTTTTAAAAGCATTTAATTTTGTTTTCAGAGAAATAGCCATTCTTTCTTTTTGCTCTCAGAGTTTGCCATTTATGTACACTATATTTGGTTATGTTATATAATCCAATAGTAAGTTCAGCTAGCACAGGTTTGGGAACAAATGAGTGGGAGCAATGTATGCTTTACTCAGAGTGGGGAATATCAATCAGTAAATGAGTTGGCTAAGTAAAGGTTGATGAAAAATCTCTAATGATATTTTACTATCTAAAGTAGTCATTTACTGTAAAAATAATGAATGCTTAAGGCATAAAATCAAAACAGTTCCACAGGGAATCAAATATTTTCACCTCTCTATATGGTAGCTGGATATCAAATTTTTTGTGTATCCTTAATGAAAATAATAGTTCTTAAAAACAAATAAATATAAATACGATGTGCACAAATAATGCAGAGAAAGTTGAAAGTCACCCCCCACTCCTTTTTTAAAGACAGGGTCTCGCTCTGTCACCCAGGCTGGAGTGCAGTGGCGCGATCTTGGCCCCCTGCAGCCTCCACCACCCAAGTTCAAGCAACTCTCATGCCTCAGCCTCCCAAGTAGCTGGGATTACAGGTATGTGCCACCACACCTATCTAATTTTTGTATTTTTAGTAGAGATGGGGTTTGCCATGTTGGCCAGGCTGGTCTCAAACTCCTGACCTCAAGTGAACTGCCCGCCTTGGCCTCCCAAAGTGCTGGGATTACAGGTGTGAGCCACTGCACCCAGCCCCTTTTTCTTTGATCTAGTATCCTACACCTGAGAAGTAATCTCTTAATTTTTTAAAATGCTGTCTTTTCCAGTGTCTTTAAAAACGTACTTTTTTTTTGTTATTTGAGATGGAGTTTTACTCTGTTGCCTAGTTGGCATACAGTGGCACAATCTTGGCTCACTACAACCTCTGCCTCCCAGGTTAAATTGATTCTCCTGCCTCAGCCTCCTGAGTACCTGGGATTATAGGCACATACCACCATACCCAGTTACTTTTTGTATTTTTAGTAGAGATGAGGTTTTGCTATGTTGGCCAGTCTGGTCTTAAACTCCTGACCTCAAGCAGTCTGCCCTCTTCAGCCTCCCAGAGTGCTGGGATTACAGGCATAAGCCACCACGCCTGGCCCAATGTACTATTTTTTATGTTAGGTGTTGAATACACATGTATTAATGTAAATATTCTTTAACTTATACAAATAGAATGTGAAAGTTGTATAGTGTATTAAAATAAAAGTTGAGGCCGGGTGCAGTGGCTCATGCCTGTAATCTCAGCATTTTGGGAGGCCAAGGGGGACAGATCACTTGAGATTAGAAGCTCAAGACCAGTGTGGCCAACATGGTAAAACCCCATGTCTACTAAAAATACAAAAAATTAGCTGGGCATGATGGTGCACACTTGTAATCCCCGCTACTCAAGAGGCTGAGGCACAAGAATCTCTTGAACCCAGGAGGTGGAGCTTCCAGTGAGCAGAGATCACACCACTGCACTCCAGCCTGGGCAACAGAGCAGGATTCTGTCTCCAAATAACTCACTCACTCACTCACTCACTCACTCACTCACTCATTCATTTGAAAAAAGGCATTCCAAGAGTGTAAACTAACTTGCAAAACAGCATTTCAAGAGTGTAAAATGAAGGGTAGAGATGTACAGCATTGCAAGAGTGTACAGTGAAGTGTACGACTTCTATTTCTGCTCCCTTGTTCTCCTTCAGGGAGGTTGCCACTGTTTTCTGTTTCCTTGTAGATACAGCCGTGTACATACTATGCACATACTTTTTTAAAAGAACACAAATGGGAGCATACTAATTAATTATTGTTTTGCAACTTGCCAGGACAGTTTATAATTGTAAATGTGTAGGAGCTGCCTGCAGTTTGTTTAGAGGGGACTTATTTATAGAGTGGTCCCAAGTCTGAGGTCTATTTGCACATACAAGTCATAAAAATGGACCCAGTGCATTTAAGTGAGATAATCTCACTTAAAAGAGGTTCTTAATGCCCAGTAGATTCCAAGGGTTTTAGGAGCTGTGTGTTTCAGGAACCAGGTAAGATACCAAATATATATATTTATCACATTAGTAAAGTTATTTACAGATTATGCTCTTCTTTGATTATCTAGGAGCAAGGTGATAGGCAACTTTCAAAGCTTTATTAGTGAGCAAATGGAGGATGTTTTGCTCAAGTTCTGCTTTTCAGCTTCTACTCCCTTTCTACTGAGACTGTCTCATTTCCTAGAAAGTTTTTGTTACTTACAGCTACTTTATGAACCAAGCTGTGATTTAAATGGTAGGGTGAATTTTTAGCACGTAAAATCATTTTGATTCCTAAGACAGCTCATTTAAAACCACCCATTACAGAAGAATTTTACTTATATGATTAAAAAATGTATGTTTCTGCTTTGTTCTTAAATGCCTGAAACCATCATATTTGTGAATAGTAATTTGTCAAATTTCAGCTTTAACCAGTCACTTTTTTTGGGTTTACCAATATATTACTTTTTTTTTTTAATTTTAAAGACCTAGAAATTACATTCTGAAGAGCAGCCAAATATTGATCACAAGATTTCCCTTCAGGCTATGATCTCAGACCTGTAACAAGAGTTTTGAATCACAAAAGTCAATCCTCTGGGTCTTTCAAGTTCTAGGGAAGCTCCTTTTTTTTTTTTTTTTGAGAAGAAGTATAGTTCTGTCACCTAGGCTGGAGTACAGCTAGTTGGCCAGTCTGGTCTCAAACTCTTGAGGTGGTCCAAAATACTGGGATTACAGGCGTGAGCCACTGCGTCCAGCCTCTAGGGAAGCTTTTTATTGAAATGTTAAAATAACATTTTTATGCTGTTCTCATTCAGGAAAGGTTGCCAGGTATAGGGTAGACTTGGCTAATGTGGAAAAATCAACTTCTGCATGCTTCGTAGTTCTTTGTGCTTGATTTTGCAGGCAAAGCTCACATAAGCTCCTTACAGGGTGTTCTGCAGAAGTATCTTAGTGAGAAATGAGCCTTTTTGCTTCCATGCTGAACTGGGTCCCAGAACAACTGTTTTTTCATTTTGTTCTGTTCTCTTACCTTCTTTCTTAAGAGGATCTACTATCACATTCTAGAGTAGTATTTGGAGCAAGATCCCATTAATAATTTTTGTTGTATTTCCATATTGGATTTTATTATGAGCAAGGACCTGTGTGTGTAGGTATATTTCAGTTTGTGGTCCACAGGGGTCTCTTGGTTGTCTCCCTAACACCCTCAAGGGAATCACATTGAACATACCCTTGCTAAAGTTTATCCTAATCCTTTCTAAATAAATTGTATTGAAGGTTTTAACTTACTGTTTGGGAAGGAAGTGCCTTGTTTTTGACTGATTTGTATGTGTGCCTTTTTTTTTTTTGACCCAGATTACCAGAGACTGATGACTGTGGCGGAGACGATTACAGCTCTCATGTTTCCTTTCCAGTGGCAACATGTCTATGTCCCTATTCTCCCGGCTTCTCTCCTGCATTTCTTAGATGCTCCTGTTCCATACCTGATGGGCTTACATTCCAATGGCCTGGATGACCGGTCAAAGCTGGAGCTGCCTCAAGAGGTGAGAGCTTGAGTATTGGTACCTCTGGGTGAGTGAGAAGGGGAGAGAAGGGCTTTGGGATGAACCCAGCACATATGGTGTTACCAAGATTATTTTCTTTTATTTTGGTGAATATGAATAACTTTTCAGGAAAAAAGTAAAAACAATGAACATTTAGTTCAATTTGTATAATTCCAGAGACACTTATCATCTTTATCAACTGACATACATACATTGTTATTTCTGTATTTATACTATTGTTTCTGTTTTGTTTTGCTTTTTAAGAGACAGTGTTTTGCTGTGTTTCCCAGGCTGGGTGCAGTAGCATGATCATAGCTTACTGTAGCCTTGAACTCTTGGGCTCAAGTGAGCTTCCTGACTCAGCCTCCTGAGTAGTTGGGACTACAGGAGCATGTCACCACACCCAGCTAATTGTTTTTTATTTTTTGTAGAGGCAGGGTCTCGCCATATTGCCCAGGCTGGTCTCAAACTACTGGGCTTAAGTAATCCTCCTGCCTTGGCCTCCCAAAGTGTTGGGATTAAAGGCATGAGCCACTTTACCCGGCTAAGAAAAGAACTGATTTAAAATATGTATTTCCTATTTCATTCTAAAGTAGATTTAAAGTATGATTAGAAATAAGATTGTTTTATTTTCAGTTTTTTTTAGAGTTACCAACAGAACTGGTATGTTATTTGTGGCTGTTACGAAACTAGCTGGGGGAAAGTGCTTTCCTACTTTGAATTTCTTGGTCTAGAAAGGCCTGGGAAGAAGACTTTGGAGTATACATACACTGGTGTCACCATGACTCTTTGTTTCCTCCCTCCACCAACATTTCTTTAGGGGTAGAGATTTTTGTATATAACTGAGGAATATGAGTGAGAGACCCCAAGAAGAGAGCATTCTCATGGAACTGGATCCGGGTAGCAGTGTCGTTGGGCATGTCTGGGCAGCATATTTGATGAATGTCCCTGATAATTAGATTGCATCTGTGATATTTAAATTATAGTCAAATGCATCTCTTTACTCTTTTCTCTCTTCCTTAGTTTTAGAATCAACATGTCTTCTTTGTCTTCCTTGTAGCTTCTTCCGTTTCTGCCCTTTTTTCTTCTTTCACTTTATAGAGCTTTGTGCTCTTTGGGGTGGAACAAGATTGATTAAGGAAGAAAAAATCTAAATGATGGATAAAGTCATTGAGATGAGATAATACTGAGTGTTTTTGTGTACTTGCTTACTGTACTGTACATATACATGAAGAGTAGGTATCAAAGACTGGAGAAACAAGAGCTTTTTGTTGTTTGCTTTAAACAAATGTGTATTTAATATTGATTTGACTTAGTCAACCTAATTATAATTCTGTAAAGTCACAATAA